TACCAGCTGTTGTACTCATTCCGTAGCAGTGTTGCATAAACGTCATGATGCTTCAGCTATCCAGGTTTGGCTCTGATGTAATGTAACATCAGAGATTACATTATTAGAGGTCTAAGCTGTATGTTGTGTACTATAGATGGAAGGAAATGGCAGCGCATAGGTGCATAGTGAGAATTTGTGTGCTAATAATGTGTGTTAATTCCATTGGTTTCTTGACTCAAATACACTCACTTGAGATGTCTGCATAACTAAAAATTAGCCTTTTCGCATTAAACCTGGAATTACATATGCAAATTTGCTGGATTTCAAAAAGACAGCGATAAGAAAAGAAAATCCATGGTTGGTGAAGTATATTAAAACTAACAGGTGAGAAAATATGGTACATACAGGAATATTTATGAAACGTAAAAAAGTTATGACATTCCACATTAATTTTTATTTCCAGTCATTTAAAATTTATAGAAATTTATTTTATGATGTTAAGTAGAAAATACGAATCAGCACGTAGATGTGAGGCAATGCGAAAATGTTTTGCATTTGATACGTCATTCCTAATTTTTCTGTGATGTGGCTTAATTACACACAACGCAAGTGCGGTGCTGATTTCCCGTAATGCTTCTCAAAGTTTTTAAAAAGGCAAAGAAAGAACGGGGAAAATCGTAATGTATACACGCAGACCAATACACACAATCATCCAGATGTGATCTTGCTCCTCTGCTACTCAAAGACACGTTTTCTCAGACTATTTCGGCATTCTGCAACCAACAAAGCATGATGGGGAACTAACTTGCAGCTTGAAAGATGGTCTTTGAGCAAGTCGTTAAGTCATTCTTCCATAGATAGACGCTTTTGATGACGCTCACAGCGCTCATAGTGAGCAAATGCGGAATGTACTGGTTGCACACTAGGCAGCAAGTTGACATTTTGTCGGTTTTTTGACGCTTTATAGGTTTTTTACGTAATAACCATGTCGGCAAATCAATTGTTAAGTTGACCACATTCGGACAAACTGTGAACTGTGCGACAAGACGAAGAACTTTGGCCCATTAGATCACCTGAAAACATTGATGCAGTGAAGCTTCAACGTTGCGATCACCACGGCGATCTACGGACAAACATGCAGCTGCACTTGAACTTTCCGATGAAGATGGCAATTGTGCAGGAACTTTCAACAACAACAATTCTATACATACCTTGTTTGAGAGAAGGCATTCGACCAATAATGGCTTACTTCCCAAACTAGGTATGTAATGAACTATTATGTCGTCATAAACACAAGCCCAGGGAGACCTGTCCTAGTTATGGTCAGCTCTCTTAGGCATTGCGTATTTCTCTCGGTGATCTTGGAACCTCTCGACACCACTATAACATTGTGATCTTTAGTAGTTTGCTATAGTTGCTGAATATTAGCAAGACTGCTGGTTTCATACTTTGAACCTCTCCATGAAGGCTGAGCCTGAATACTAATTGATATCCAGATACATTAGAGGTGGAGGTGATTCATCGTCTGTAGTGTGGAAATGTTGTGTGCATCTGACATGTGCACATCCAGTTGCGCGGGTTGTACCACCCCGGTCGGCGGAAAGCTATTTCTTACCCACAAAAACAGTAACAACAGCCAATGCTGGGAAACGTTTTTTCTTAGTATCAGGTAACCAAATAAGTTCGTGCTGTTTCTAGTAGAAAAATATAAATTTTTATTGAGAAACAATAAGACGCTGTCTATTCGTCGAAGTAATTACCATCACATTCAATGACCTTTTGCCAACGTGGAACCAATTTTTCTGGATGAGTGCTGATTGTACTCGTTGAAGCTGCTCACAATACAAGTTAGCAGTGATGGTTTGACCTCTCTCCAAAAACTCTTAATGGACAATTCCAGTTGCTGTCCACCAAACACACAACAAGACCTTGTTTGGGTGCAAGAAGCCTTGGGCGTATGTGGTACCGAATCAGTAGGTGACAACCAATGATACGAACGCTTAGAATTCGAATACAAGATTCGCAGGTTAATAACCGATAAAGAAATGGTTCATTAGCGTTGCGTGAAATGTTTGCTGAACAAATGGTAAGACGAATTAATTTGTTATCATTTGTCAGTTCATGTGGGACCATTTGCTTAACTTCCACGTCTTTCCTAGCTGATGAAGATGCAAACGAATAGTTTCAGGACTCACTCTGAACATGGTGGTCCTAGAATTTACGTCCACAATCTGTCGAAGATCCTCGTTGTTCATGATTTTTGGTCTCCCTGAGCGCGGTTCATCCAAACTGATATCTCCCGAAGAAAATTTTTCGAACCACTTCTGTGCTGTTCGATCACTAACGGCATCATCTCCTCATGCGGTACATATTTTTCGCGCCGCCGCTGCAGCTTTTGTACCAAGTGTATACTCATTTTCAATTATTAAAACTAGTTACGTAACAATTTCAGCAACTTTTTGTGTGTCTGAGAAAAGAAAGATTCATACTAAAGTGACAACAGGTAACAAACAATCGCTATCGATCAACAACATCCATGGCAATGTGCGATATACAGCAACCGCACGAAATTTTGGTAACCTGATACTTGCTAACTGGTAAAATTTATCTGGTATTTCTAATTCGATTCTCACCATTCGAATCTCGGAAACGGTAACAGATACGATGCCGGTTAAATCGGGCACAGTTGCGCACTTAGGTAACTGAGAAAATAGCACCCAGAAGGTTTCGCAATTCTGATTATTTCCGGATACAAGCGAATGAAACCGAATCGTTATCTTACCTGACTTTATTTGAAATGCGATGTCAAAGTAAAAGGTACAATAACATTGCCACCTTTTTTGTTTCATGATTGAAGTTTCAATATGGCGTTTCGTCTCGACCCCTCAGTCATTAACTCTATTTTTTCTTGTAGATGCCATATTGGATTTTTCCATAGGTGAATAGTTTTCCATTCTGTTTAGAGAGATGTATATGCTTTCACTACCAAGCCCTAGTTATTTCAAAAAACGAGACTTCCCAACTAGGCCTTAAAATTATCAGATAGTCGTTTGTATCATAATATGATCAGTCAAGCATTCCTTCAGTTTTATGAACTATGAGCATTAATGTGTGAACAGTTATTCCCGATCTTAGTGATATGATATTGTACATAATACATGGATTGTTATAATAAAACTTCTATCTGCAAAGTAATATTCCCATAGTAACTGATCGAATAAAGAAGAACCTGGTGATAAAATTTCCTTTATATAATTGATAGAAACATTCTACGGTAAATAAAATCTTCGACGATATTGCACCTTCCTCAACACATCTCATATCAGCCATATCTAAACCGATGGACACATTTTGCATTTCAATACCTATTAATCTGCAGCTGAGGTGTCAGGTAGGGTGTTTCCATAGTAACTAAATTCATTTTCACGGCCAACGATGGAAATACTTGTTTCCTTGAAATAACTTACGGTTGACGATGTCAGTGTTTGACATACTTGTATTATACATTTTAGCTTCCTCAAAATAACTTAGGTTTGACAACGCCAATGTATGACACATTATACATTTTTGAAATTAGAATTAAAAACTGTATTTATCTGCGTAAAAGTACAATATGACGAAAGAGAAAATGTAGTTGATGACTGAAGACAACAGACTAAACGCCATGTTGAAATTATAATAATTGCATCTTGTAGAGGTGAAAAACTGGCATTGTTAGTGTTCCTTTCATATAAAAATCGCACTTCAAATAGAGTGAGAAAAAAGACAACGATTTAGGAAGCATTGGGTTCCTTTCATCTATATCCGGAAACACTTGGAATCGCGAAACCTTCCAAGTGCCATTTTAAACCGAATTTGTATCAATTACCACATCCGAGGCTCCAACGGCCAGATTCGAAATGATTCGGTATGTCCAAAATCCTAGACAGTACCGACCCTTTCTGTGTGTTGAGTTATGAAGTAGAAACCTAATATTATCATTCCCAAAAGGTGTTTCATGGATAAGAACTCAGAGGAATATATATCGTTAACATAATTTTATAGAGTGTTAAAAGAATTTTCCCACAAGATCTCGGCTGCACTCAATGGCATGTGTCTTCGAGCGGATTTGGACGGTATAACACAAACCTATTTTCAGCTACCTTGTAGGGTCAGGAAAAAGAGAGCATCGATATCCTTCTTCCAATTTTACTATGTTCTAATAAAGGACTTTTATCGGTTGGACTATTAATCGAAGCAGGAACTTTCTGCTACAGGAGAATCAGTCACGACTTAACCATGCATACAAAAGCATAATCAAACATCCACTATGACTACTCTGCGCGCACACAAACCTTGCTATGCAATGAAATCATCATTTGCAATGCTTAGCGAGTGAGTAAGAAGTCAAGTTCCGTCGGAAAGTTAACAGACAAACAAATATGTTTGTATACTTCAGGTATTGTGCTTTAATTACTAACAGCGAAGTAATCTTATCATGTAAGCAATGTTTTTTTAACTTTAGTATCACTTATTGCCACGATTAGATAAGACATACGACTTTAAAAGCGGTAGCGCTTACAAACGTTGAAGATCGCCGATAGTAGATATAAAACGTCTTAAAAATCTATAGTAATCCGTATCTAACGTATCCGCGCCCATCGGCATACTAAACAAAGATGAGACGATCATCATGCTTTGATATAGTGGGTGAAGTTCCATCTCATTAAGAGATTCAACATGGCGGATCAAATATGGCGGCTAAAGTAATGTAATTATTCTGGTAAATTGCTTATGTTCCATGTTCATGTATTCAAAAAAATCGCAAAAACGTTGATAAAAGCGTATATTGACTAGAAGCAGCTAAGGCTAAAAGTAGTGGTGAAATCAAGCTGAAAAAAGATGCCCAATATGTTAAAATTACCATTCCACGGTTCTTCACTCGATTTCCCTTTCTATTCAGTCTGCCATTTTAGTAGATATGCAACATGTTTATGAAATCAATGGCATGCAAAGTATTTCATTATATCTATATGTTCTCACCTGTGATCCCTAAGATGATCTTGCCGCCTAAAAGCTTTTCCACAAATATCACAGGAATACGGCCTTTCGTCCGTGTGAGTCCGTTCGTGAATCAACAAATTATAACTCTTGGTGAATTGTCTGCTGCAAAATTTGCAAATGAACTGTTTCTTGGGTCTCGAGCTCCCTTTCTGCCTTGTCGTCGTTACGCCGCTGGTCGCAGTTGAGCTTGTTGTTGAGGATGACACACCAGGAGGCGAACTGGAGGGGTTCTGGTACACAGAGTTCATTATTAGGCTGGGGTACGACGTGTCCACAGGAGACGAGGGCAAAGGGAAGTTGTTGAGAGCTTCGTCATTGTCCAGGAGGGCCAAATCTTCTTCGACCTCTTCGGCCAGGTCCACGTCTTCAGTGAGGCTGGTGTTGTTGGTGGTTTCTTCTTCATTGCTGATCGTTTCCTCATTGATTTTGGCGGTATTCGTGGCGATTTTGAGGATATCTATCCTCCCGGAGTTGCTTTGAACGTTTGCCGACACCGTACTCAGTCTTTGTAAGGTTAGGTACGACTCTAACGCCTGAAGGTTCAATGCAGCTGCTGCGGCTGAGTTCGCCGGCAGAAGCGCGGCTTGCTGCAGGGAATTCATCATGGCATTCTGCAGGGAAAGGGCCACATTTTGAATGGAACGTTGTAACAGGTTCTCCTGAATCATCAGGTTCAGCTGGTTGCCGCCAGGCATCTCGTTCGGCTTCGGTGACATTTCGCCCTTGTTTTCTTGCATATTTACATCACACGTTCACCCGATTCGGTCGTTTTTCACGTGTGGAAATCCGACGGCGCGCCGGTGCCCGTGTCGCACATTTAAAACAGTCTTACACACGCGCGGTCACTCTATTCTTAAACAGTAGACGGTCGACTAAGCAAGGTATCAAGGCAGCTGTTAAACCGTTCTTCGCTTGTTTTTACCTGTGCGCCATCTAGACGCGACTCGCGGACAGCGGAGAAGACGAGCGAGCGAACGGCCGGTACTCGCAGACGCGAGTCGTACCGCGATTGGGGAATTGGGGGTACGGCGAAGGGCCGCTGGGGGACCATTCAGGGTGGAGGGCTGCGCACAGAGGCGTACACGGTAGATGGATGGGTTGGATGCTTTGCTATCTGAGCAAGTGGATGAGCATTTTTTGCAAGTTGATATAGACGGGTACGACATAGAGTTACTAGTAGTGGGCTGCGCAAAAACGTATGCACTACAGCTGGATGAATTATAAACGAGATGTTCCAAAGCAACGATACCGTAGAGGGAATTGAAGCAATCATCTCGAAGGAATCGATTACCATAGTTTCGACTCCGATTCTGGTGGTTCTGATTCCTGAAACTAGATTCGACCATTATGATACCAGCGCTCAAGGCCTTGGTGGTTTGGAAGGTTTTGAACATTGCCGCTACCGCACTGCGGGTCCTCGCACTAAGTTGAAAAATAGGTAAAGAAAGGACATAAGAAAGACATTTTATAGAATTTCAAGCAGCAAAATCATTTTTACTCAAACACTGCGGTGGACTGAGTGTTACCTCCAATACCGATCAACAAGGCACTAACTCTTTCAAGTTTAAATCTGAAGCTACTACTTGCCAGGAAACCTTGCTCCAGCCTGGTTTATGCTACAATCCCCGTCACCGTCCAATGGATAAATGTACCCACATCTCATGATTTCTAATATGTGCGAGCCTTTCAAAAACAGTTCCCGACGTTATCCAGTTCAGGTTGTGGAATCGACACCATGGGAATCGATAATCGATTCCTACTTCGTAGTCGCTTCTTTTCAGGGATAACTGACACCAATGGTATGTTTTGGAATTACGGAAATCAGAATCAAAGGGAATCGGAATTAAAAGAAACCGTAAATGAATTTGAGGTCTCAGTTCAAAGACCGGGATCGAAACCTTGAAAAAAAAATAACTGAAAGCATTTGACCCAGCTTCTAGCATACACGGTCGATTGATGGGATGGATTCATTGGTCTATATAGGATGATACTTAGTAATGGACCGTTATTACAAGAACGCGGTGCATCTGTCTATAACCTGACCATTGATGTTATAATTATCATAAATTAAATAGTTAACTTTTCTTGTATAAGTCATAACTTTACATTTCGAAACATTCAGACTGAGACAGTTTCGTGAACACCATGACGAGATTAGAGCTAAGTCATCTTGCAACATGACGCAATCCTCGACTGTCTTGACTGACGTGCAGATTTTAAGGTCATCAGCGAAAAACAAATGGAAACACTTCAGTTCAAAAAACAAGTCATTAATAAATATTAAAAACAATAATGGACCTAGATTTGACCCTTGAGGCACCCCAGACGTGGTCCGATAGTAACTCGACCTATGACCACCATATTCGACAAATAACCTTCTATCCCCCAAATATGAATTCATGAGCGACAGCATTGCATCAGAGATACCCACTGTTTTAAGCTTATCCAGAAATGCATAATGATCAACTTGATCAAACGCCTTCTGAATATCAGTGTAGATGACATCAACTTGTCCCTGACCGTCCAGTACTTCAGAAATGTACTGAGTAATCAGAGCCAAGTTGGTGACCGTAGATCTGCCTCTCATAAACCCATGCTGATTAATAGAGGCTGCACCCCTGACCGAGCAGTAAACCGTTTCATAAGAGATGATCTCAAACAACTTGCTGAAATTGCACAGGATTGCTATTTGGCGATAGTTGGAAATATCAGAGATATCTCCACTTTTGTGAATAGGACATATTTTAGAGGTCTTCCAGATATTTGGATATGTCTCTGCTTTTAGAATTAGGTTGAATATGGAAGCCAGTTGTTTCGCTAGTATATGAATGCAATCTTTAACGAAAAAACTTGGAATACCATCACATCCAGACGTCATTTTGTTCTTTAATCTTTTCGAAACCCTAATTACGTTTTCTTCACTTATATTTTTTAAAGAAATGATATCGGTAGAATTATTTGTTGGAGGAGATGACCCTAGTAGACCATACGGGATAAAAACTGTTGAAAAGAAGGTAGCAAAACTGTCCACTATATCCTGAGGCGTATCGCAGACATTGCCGTTAAGCGTCATCCTTGGGGGGATTCTAGATTGCTGTTTTTTGATCTGGGCAAATGACCAGAATTTGCTAGGATCATTGACAATGGCATCCTCAACCTATTGGACGTAAGCGGAGTAGGCAACACTGATCTGGTTCTTAATGAGCTTCCTAAAATTACTGAACTGATCATAAGAAAACTTAGTACCGTCACGTTTCCAGTTCCTTCTTGCTATGTCCTTCTTCTTGATATTAAGTATAATTTCACGTGTGAACCATGGGGAATACGAAAACATTTTACTTTTACATTTAGGGACATGGACCTCAAAGATGTTATTGGTAACTGAATACAAGGCGGTACAAGCGACATCAACATTAACTGCACTGATCACCTCCGTCCAATTAACATCTTGCAAGGCTATGTACATTTCAGGAAAGTTAGCTTTGCGAAAGTTAAACCGTGGAGAATTAGCAAATGGGAATTTCGTTGGAGATCCGGATGTAATGAATTCCATGATCAGTGCAGGATGATGAACGTCCTCTTTAACAGAAGGTGTACTATCTCTGAGGACTTCTATTTCGATATTTCCTAAAATTAAATCCAGTATTCGACCATTTATATTTGGAATATTATTAAAATTAGTTAAATCTAAAAACGAAATAAAGTTGCTCATTAATTGAGACTTCTGATCATTCACGTCACTGTTCAATGATGCGACATTAAACTCACCAGCAACAATTATTTTACAATTACTGAATGCATTGTTAAATACTTCCAAAGCTTCAAGGTACTGACCAAACATATCCAAATTAATTGAGGGCGGAATATAAATAGAAAAGATAACAAAATGCTCATGGTTAATAATAAGCCTAATACATACAGTATCAATCGACGGAAAGTTTCGACTCAAAGCACTAGCGTCAATTCTAATTGCATGGAAATCGCGTTTTATGGCTATCAGGACTCCTCCGCCGGAAACTAGGCCAGATTGAATAAAGTCACGATCACATCTGAACACACAGTATTCAGCCGGAAATAATTCACTATCACTCACATTCAGAGACAGCCACGTCTCAGTCAAGCAAATTAAATCAAATTCGTAGTCACTGACTGCATTGAAGAATGACACCGTCTTAGAGTTGAGACCACGAACGTTCTGGTAGGAGCACCTTAGCTTAAGTCTCTCATGACAAATTGGTCTGTTATTGGGTTCAGTTATGCGTTTAAAGTAACAAGCTTCGGAACCCCATTGAAATATTTAATTCTGAGGTTACTTTCACCTTGCGCGATCCTTTCATTCAGTTTGCTCTTTAAGTAGCGATAGAGCTCCATCTGTTTTGGAGTTTTATCAAAAGCAACTGTTAATTTTTTTGTCAATACTATTCGCGAGAGTGCACTGAAAGATGGAATTCGTAATTATGTTCTTGTTATGTTAACTATTATTAGCCCAATAAACAACTCTGCCAAAATTCAGCAAAATCGGCGCAAGGATATTTGGGAACAACGCTTTTAAGGACACATGATTAAATTAACTTTTCCACTTTGGTTCATGAATGCGTCTCAGTAATGACGGATATCATTAAGCAGGACCCCGTATGATGAACTGGACGTGTACTTATTTCATTAGCTTACATCAGGCACGGTACCTGTGCCTGTCTGATGAAGAAATACTGGGATTCAGAGTTGAGAGCTGTGCACTGAGACGATAGCGGTGGTATCGGACCAACTGAACTTGTATTCATTGCAACTTGATATAGAAAGGGTAGCTGCACCCTGTTAGGTACGACGGGTCACTATTGGAGGAGCATAGAGCTAAGGGTTGCGCACAGAGGTCGAATCCACTGGTATATCTAGCCAACTGGACTTTTCGTTTATATTATGGAAACAATATCTATGAGTGAGAAATTATCAGTCATTCGTGAGATCGAGAGCTACCCTTAAGGACTGAGATAATAGATGTGCAGACGTAGTATATCCCTAGTAGCTGATGTGGGGCTTTGGTGTGAGGATGCGAGCTATCGAGGAGTACCTCTCATTCAAGATGAGTGGGGAGGATGCTTGACAAAGTTGACTTTGCGATCCCGTAAATAACTCACTCAGTACTTCATAACTGTTTAAAGCCTGTTTATTACTTTTCTCAAATACATATTGATCTACCGCTTTAAAGTGAAATTTAGTTGTAAGGAGCTACAATTCTCCGATTACGGGGCGTACTCGAAAGATGCAGAATGTACAAGAACAGTCTACGGATAATATCAAAACAAAAACTTATGGTAAAATGTACAAGGGTTTACATACAGGGTGACTTCGAAGTTGAGTCATTTATTCTAACAGTGAGTAGATCTGATCACAAAAGAAATGTTTTTTTCCTTTAACATTTTTGTGGTAAAATTAAAGTAACAAAGTTATAGCCCTTTAGAAGCTTGAGTACCGCCCTGTCTCAATAATAATATGTGCTCGTGTTTGGCAACAACGGATATAATCGGAAACAAAAAAGCGAAAGAATTTGAAACGCTTATCACGATGTTTTATTCATTTATTTTATTCAGTTGTATTCATTCGATGTATCAGTCGGTAACGCGTGAGTGGTGTTTCTACGTGGCTCAAACGAAATAAAAAATGGCACATGTTTACGAAAATGCTGAACTTGTGGACATGATTCTTATTTTACAAAATGCTGCTACGGCAACACGGATTTATGCGGATCGGTTTCCCAATCGAGTGCAACCAACACCTAGTGCCTTTGTTAATGTAGTACAAAGGGCTCGTGAATCAGGTGACTTAAGTCCTCACACGGGAGGGTATGTGCTCCAAGACCGCACGATCAAATACAGGTCCGCACTGAAATACTTGTCGGGAGGATATTTTATAAAACAAGGTAACATTTTTTTTAATTTTTACACACATATTTTGGTTTATTTTCCTT